TAGTTTCCAATAGGACCCCGCTGCCACGGGAGGGTAGGACAAAAGATGTCATGCAAGTTCTTTTCCATAAGCACGTATGACTATATATGGAATACATGCCTACATTACATTGATGAATTGGAGCTAGTTCTGTGTCACCCTATGTTATGACTGTTACATGATGAACCGCATCCAGCATAATTATTCATCACTGATCCGGTGCCTACGAGTTTTCCATATACTGGTTTACGCTTATTTACTTTTCCGTTGCTACTGTTACAATCACTACAAAATACCAAAAATATTACTTTTGTTGTCTTTACTTTTGTTGCTGCTACCACCACTATCATATTACTTTGCTACTAAACACTTTGCTGCAGATACTAAGTTTCCAGGTGTGGTTGAATTGACAACTCAGCTGCTAATACTTGAGAATATTCTTTGACTCCCCTTGTGTCGAATCAATAAATTTGGGTTGAATACTCTACCCTCGAAAGTTGTTGCGATCCCCTATACTTGTGGATTATCACACTTCAAGAGGTGGCAAGTGAAGTCCATGCTCTGGCTTACTGCTCTAAAAGTTTCACACGTCAGTATTAGCATGCTAGAGGGATCTCTGATGAAGAGCATATATAGGAAATTACAGGAAGCCAATACTATCATCATGGGACGTGTTCTAAGTGTTCCTGTTGTCCGTCTATGTGATGTGTACTGCTTCCTTTTAACTATGAAGGTGTTGAACCCCCAGGTGCAAGGGTTTGTTGCAAGCAACCATTTTTCTCAAGTGGATGACCTTAAGATTTATCGGACCAGTAGGAGTTTGCAACACAGCCAATGATAAGTGCCTGCACATAGAAATATAAAACTTCCTTGCCCCCCAACAAAACTAGGATGTTGTCAGTTTCACTAGCCTTGCTAGTTACGAGGATTAAATGTATTGTGTATGAATGGTTGATTGCATCGAAAAAGTAAAAGTAAGGGATTGTAAAACAGAGCTTTGATCGAGGTTGGAAGAAATAGGAAAAAGAATGGACCAGGATCCATAGGTTCACTAATGATTTTTCTCCAAAAGATAGCATGGTGTGGTAAATAAATTACAGTTGTGTATCAATTCAACTGCAGTTTTATGACTAATGATTATACATGGCATAACTACAAATGTTCCAAACATCTATAGACCGTTATCCAACTGCATCTGTAGCTAATACTCCACCCAAGACTGCTATCCAACATGCATCTTAAAATATCAAGTAGTAAACAAACTATTAAGTATGATGACATGAAGTATATGATGTATTGTCTTCACCCTACGTACAAGGTACAACTGCACAATCATATACATGATGAAGAAATTTTGAAATCATGGTTGATTAACATTTTTCTATACATGATCAAGAAATTTCATCAATATTTTAATACAAGGTCAACATTTTTTCTATACACATTTAACATTTGACTAACATTTTTTAAATACGTGTTCAATATTTTCTTCAAAAAATGAGGCAGTGTTGTACCCGTGAAGTGGCCTGGCCCATATGCTCGCGCAAGCATGGACTCGCTGAACGCGAGACATAGGCACTCCCTTGCAACTCCTACAAAAAAAGGCACTCCCTTGCCTCAAGGCTTCTACTCCTTGTTTATGTATTTTGTTTTGATTTTTTTCTGATTTTTACTAAAAGGCTAGTACACCAACAAAATCGGGTAAGGCGTCGCTTTGGTCCGGTTCGGCTTTTAAAACTATAGCAGCTGGAGATGCATGTTAGAGCAATTCTAGCAGACCCCGCAAAATTCCGGCGAGTATGCGGGTTCGGCTCAATTTTCTGGTTAGAACAGAGCTCACATACTCGCCTGGCCCGTAAAAGTTTTTGCCGCGGCCTGCAAACCGCACGCCCCGGCCGCTATATCTACGGTTCCGCGGCTCATTTGCGGGTCGAAACCCTATCCCTCGTCGCCGTCGCGCGATTCCCCACCCCCTTCTCCACATTTCTTGCCGCCGGCGACCACCTCCCCGCCATCAGCCGCCATGTGGGGCCGCATGTGAAGCTCCGGACGCGGCTCTGGCAGCAGATCCGGCGGCGGAAGTGACCCCGAGCGCGAGCGGCGCGTCCGGTCGGACGGCGCAAGGAAGCGTGGGGCCCGGAAGTGGACCAACCGCGGCCTGTCGCCGCTGGCGAGCTTCCGCGTCCGCGAGACGGAGGAGTACGACCGCCGGCGTGCATCCTTCTCCTCTGCGGCGAGATCTTCGTACGTCGGGAGCTCCTCCTATTCCGGCGCGGGCCTTCTCCCCGTGAAGAGGGAATGATCGGAGGAGCCGGAGGAGCCGGACGACTTCGAGTTCGTCCCCGTCAAGGAGGAGCCCGAGGGGCCCGCTCCGCTCGACCGCCGTGGAGTCGTCGAGCCGGAAGACTTCGCCTCCGACGTCGATGCGGTTGCGGCCGCCATTGCCGAGCAGATCATGCGCGAGGAGGCTGAGCGCCGGCGCCACGGGGAGGAGCTCGAAGACCGCCAATGGCGGCAGGCGGTCGCCGCCAACCTCGCCGCCAAGGAGAAGGACGAGGAATGGCGCCGCATCCGCGAGGAGCAGAGGGCGAAGTACATCGACCTCTGCAGCTCCGGTGAGGAGGATTGAGCGTCCTTCTCCTCCACGGTGTCGTCCATGGCCTCGACCTCGCCGCCGTCAGATCCCCACCCCTCTAGTACTAGTATTAATGTCGTATGTAGTATGAACTATGTTTGTAGTGTTTGATCATGTAAAACCTATGTAGTATGAGATGAACTACTCGCGTCAACGAGGTGCAATTTCTTCCGCGAAACTGTTTTTTTTTTCAATTATGCAGTTTTAGATACGGTTTTTGTTCGGCCGCGCTTGTTTTCGACCCGCAAACGAGATCTTCATGAAACTGCAAACGCGTTTTGCGGGTCGAGTTTTTGCGGGGTCTACTAGAGTTGCTCTTAGTTTCCCTCTCACCGTTTGTGGCACGGCATCGTCATGGACGGAGTAGAATCCATGGTTCAAAAATCCCCAAACGTGAATGCAGCTTTTATTGGTCAACTGGTTACCACTATGTACAGCAAAAAATATAACGTGAACCAGGTCTCGATGGTTTAGATTTTACTTTGATTGGTCCCAAACGTAAGACGGACACGCAAAAATCTCCACACTGTTCCAGGAGTGGCAGTACACAGCCACAGGCTCGCGGGCCTGCACTTCAAGTCGCAGCAGCTCCGGGTTTCTCTGCCCCATCCGTCCAAGCTCAGCTGCACAACATGAGCACCGCACGTCCATCTCTCTTTTAAACAAGAGACGGTGACCATCCCTTCAAAAAAAAAAGGGAGAGAGACGGTGACCATGGTAGGGGCCCCGAGTGGGCCGCCGAAACAAATAGTAGCTCTGTCCCCGCGCCCCGCGAGCATGGCTTGTGCTTGCATGCTTCCCTACCGCGCTTGCGCGTTTCAAATCTAGAATCATCATCCGTGCATTGCGCGGTGATGCTTCTTTGCACTGCAATAGGGATCAGGGAATGCATTAAGGTTTTTCCCTTATGGCTTCTTTTTATGTGCTCAATGAGCATCCTGACCTTTCGTGGTTCTCAAAAAAAAAAAGGGTGCCGATTGCCAAAGAGTCAAAGACATGCAGATTACTGCCACAGCCGCTCCCGACCAGGCCATAACATACGGAGGGAACAACGCAAGTGGAGACACCAGAGACCAGACACGTCCAATGGCCCTGGCCCTGAAGACAGCATGGCACGACAATCGACGGCACCGCATGTCCATGCCAGCAATCATGAGGTTTCCCCCCTGATCATGAAATCCCCTATACTTTCCCTAAATTAACTGGACAATTCTCTTCTTCTTAATTAATTGATGAGGCAATTATTTTGCCTCCGTTTCGAAAAAAAAAATCCCCAATGCATTCCGATAAAGATTGAGGCAGCTCACCAGTTGTCCGTTGCCCTTGCCCCTCCAAGTATCACAACAACTACTACAAATGTTCCAGACAGCCAGCCAACCCCCCTCCAACTGCATCCCCGGCTACCACCACCATTATTCAGAGCGGGGATCATGGCCAAGCTGGACAAGCATAATGCCGCGGCCTCCACTTTTGGATTTCATGGTCCTGCCTGCCTCCCTGTGGTGTGCTATGCTATGGTGGTCAAAGGGAAACTTCTTGCTCCTTGGCACTGTCCGTCTGTCTGTCCACAGCTCGCTCGCCCTGCTGTTCGCTTGGGCCTTTTGCCTTTGTTAACTGTACCACCCAACCCAACCCAGCCCAAGCATGGCTGATGCTCATCATTACCAGCGTATAAACGCTCGAAAGACGCCCGCTTTTGGTTCGGCCTGCGCACCCTGTCCGTCTTGCCACTTTCAGAACGCTTCTCTTTCATCCAAATGGATGTCAAAGAATCTCTCCTCGCCTAACTAGGAATGCAGTTCAGTGCACAAGAGTTACACTGTTCCACTCAAAAACTGGATGCTCCCAAACGAGCAATCGTGTCTTTTTTACTGAAAATAGGCAAGCAAAACAATGGCCGAGACCCTCACCTCAACGATCATTGCCAGATGCAATGCACCAAACCGGCAAGAACAGCAACAAAAGGGAAGGAGCGGAGGAACATGGAGAGCAACATGGGGTTGGTGACCACAAAACATGAGTAATTTCTAAACAAAATCAACATGCCGGCGAAAGAGAATCCATGGACACCATGTACAGACAGGTTTTTTATACAGATCAGCAACACTTCTTCGGCCCCTCCTGACCATCACTATCTCAATATTTCCCCACCTTCTGATCCCAGCCAGGAGTACCTATCTCATTCATAGAACAAGCCCACTTTGGTTCCGAGTAAACACACATACAAATCCGACCCCCAAAAAACAGCAAGCCAACAAATCAAAGAACCCGACACGAAAACGGCCATCTACTAAAATCTTATTTGCTCTCCCCTATCATGCGACATGTTCAAATGGTGGCGGTGGTATGGACCTGGTTGGCGGTTGTATCAGCAGCTGGAACCTCATCAGGCGGAGGATTCGGTGGAGCTCTTCACCTTGAATCGGCACAGCAGCTTCTTCTTCTTCGACGTCGGGTTGTTGACGATGAGCACCACCTTGCCAGGCTCGCTCGCTTTGAAGCTACCCTTCATGATTGGCTCCTCGTTGGCGGGCACCTTCCGAGTCTTCTGCACGATGACCGTGTAGCCGCCCTCGGCGTCCGGGGTGAACTCCACGCCGTAGCTCACCTCCCATCCAAGCACACGGAGCTCCCACACGACCGTGGAGTTCTAAAATAATAGCACATTGCGACATAAAATGTGAGTACTTATGCTACCATTGTAGTGTAAATTTGAGGACAGAAGCAGATGGACCAACCTCAGTAGCAGGAATCTCAACAGTTTCTTTGGAAGAAGGTTTGACAGTGAGCTCGGTCACGCCATCAGAAGTGGAGAATTCAGTATCATCCTCTTTGTAGAGGCCGCCGAATTGGACAGGGACCTGCTCCGGCGCGATGTATCTGCATCAGATTAGTGAAGGCAAATAACAGGTGAGAACATGGTAAGAAAGTATGACTGCTAAACGAGAAAAGAAGACTTGCAGAGATTATCATGTGCGGACCTGAAGAGGGTCTCGGCGGTCTTGGCTGGGCTGCAAAACGTGAATTTGCTCTTGGTGCGCTGTGTGAGGAACGGGCTCATCATCTTGTTTGCCGCAAGATACCACCATGGCACATTGATGAACACCTGCATATGGTGGATGATCAGACCAAATTGAACCCGATTCAGTTCACTCAATTCATCATACATGTAAGTCACTCCAGTCTCATAACAATCACATACCATATTCAATAGTAAAAGACATAATTCAAACAAGAAAGAGAGGAAAACTAGAACTCAAATGATGCCACCATCTCAGCTTACTTGCACCACTAATCCACCTTATCTAGTTAGATTAATGAGCTGCAAGTGCTATAAGAAAGACATTAATCAACTTCCCCCAAGGACATACTCCGTAGTAGTCATCACAGGAACAGCATACATACATCAGATGAATTCAGCTGAACCTACTACAACGTCGTGTCGTGTTCATCAGATGAATTCATCATATAATGAAGTCGCTCCAGTTCGTAACAAGCAAATGCCATTTTCAATAGCAAGGAACTTAATTCAAACAAGAAAACTATAAGTGAAATGGTGCCACTATGTCATCCTACTTGCACCACCAATCCACCATATATAGTTAGATTATTGTGCTACGAGTGCTATAAGAATGACACTGGTCAAATTTCCCACCAGACGAATCACAGCATTTTACACTACCTACATCAGACGAATTCAGTTGAACCCACTACAAACACAAAATTGCTGCCTAATGAAACAAACAAATGCATAATCCTTGTGCTGATGTTACCAAATTTGCTGTAAGAAAGAGAAGAAAGAAGTTTAGTACCTTCTTGGCGATGAATTCAGGGTAGTTGTCCTGGAGCAGCGCGAGCGCCTGGCGGGTGACGGCGCGGTGCTTGCCGAGCATGGGCGGCGAGTTCTTGAGGTCGGTGACCTGCACCATGGAGCAGATGCCGCTGGGCGAGAAGTCGAGCTGCTCCCGGATGCCGCGCTCGAGGAGCTGGATGCGCCACCTGAGGAAGCGCTCCCGCTTCTCGTCGTCGCCGAAGGCCTTCTCGTAGAGGTCCTTGTCCTGGAACTCGCTGTAGACGTTGTAGCAGACGGGGTGGCCCTCGCGGTCGGCGCCGCGGTAGAAGACGACGTTCTCCAGCTCCGGCACGCCGAGGTCGGCGCCCAGGAGCGCGTCGATGCCGAAGCTCTTGCGCCACAGCACCGCCGCCTTGAGCATCGCCATGGCCTCCTTCACCTTGAACTCGCGCGCGCGGAGGAACTTGAGGAGCACCGTGTCCGTGCGCTCGTCGCCGCCCACCAGCGGCACGCCCCAGATCAGCTCCTCCTTGGGCTCGGCGGCGGGCGCCGCCTCCGGCTCGGCCGCGGCGGGGACGGCGGTCTCCTCGATGGCCTCCACGGTCTTGGTGCCTTCCTCCTCGGCCACCACGACGGTTTTCTCCTCCGGCTTCGGCTCGTCCGGCTTGGCCTCCTCGGCCGCCACCTCGGCCTTGGGCTCCTCCGCGGCGGCCACCGCCGCCGGTGCCTCCGCCTTGGTCTCCTCCACGACAGCCACCGCCGCCGGTGCCTCCGTCTTGGGCTCCTCCTTGGCAGGCTCCTCGGCCTTGGGCTCCTCCTGGGCCGGCGCGTCCGTCTTGGGCTCCTCCTTGACAGTCTCGTCGGCCTTGGGCTCGCTGCTCTCGGCCGCCACCTCGGCCTCAGGCGCATCGCTCTTGGCCGGCTCGTCGGTCTTGGGAGCAGGCTCCTCGGCCGCCGGGGCTGGCGGGGGCGGGGGCAGGTCGAACTCCCCGGCGGCGAGCGCGGCGGCGACGAGGTCCTTAAGCTGGGCGAGCGCCTTCTGGTCGGGGTCGGCGAGGTCGGCGACGAGGTTGCTCTCCTCCTTGAAGGAGGCGGTGCTGCCCTCGATGACCGCCGCCTCGTCGGCCCCGGCCTCCGCCACCGCCTCCTCCATCTTCTTCTCCTCCTCCTCCTCCTCCCTGGCCTCAGCCGCCGCCGCCGCGGACTCGTCAGACTTCTCCCCCACCTCCACGGCCTTGTCTTCCGCCTTCGTCTCCGCCACGGCCACCTCCGCCACCGCCGCCGCCGCAGCGGCCTCCTGCTTGGTCTCCTCGGCCATGATAGTACCTGATGGAACAAGACGGAAGTGTGCGCGTGCAGGCGGTGGAAGCTAGGGGCGCGTGCGCGAGGGAGAAGAATCTGTGGGGAGAGGGAGGGAGGGGGGGCGAGAGATTTGTAGAGAGAGGGAGGGAGCAGAACGACCAGCTGGTGTGGTTTCCGTTTCCCCTGGCGCTGCTGGTGGCTGGTGTTTGCTTTGCTGGAAGCATGCGCGACGCAGAGCCAGCAGTGCAGTGCAGAGCAGGGCCCTCGCGGACGGAGGAGGCGCCTAGGTGGAGTAGACCGCTGCCGTGGGGTCCACCCGCTCCCCACTCCCCTCCGGCCTCCATGGTTCGCGTGACACCGCCTTACCTTTTGCTCTGCTGCTTTCGCCCCCCTCCCTCTTTCTTTTTTCGGTTTGTCTAATTCACATCTAGATGTTTTTTAAAGACGTCACATCTAATCTCCCACAAATATATAATACACCAACAAGAAACAAAATAGACCACAAACAGAATGAAAATCAGCTTAGATGTGACATAGTTGTGTCCTAGACATATCCTTCTTTTTTTGCCTTCTCCTCCCAAGAAAGTCCAGAACAGCAAGGACAGCGGATCCGGCTTTCCTGCTCCCTCCACATGCTCTCATCCGTGCTCCCACTTCATCTTACGGCTGTCCTTTTCTCTTTTCTCTTTCTAATCTAATCACCGCCCCCCTGATTTTAAGGGGACGGGCCGGGTCGTATTTTGTTCCAATCAAATCATGCCACGTATGCGGGAGCACGGATGGAAGCACGCTGGGGGAGTGTCGGTGTCAAAACCGGCGGATCTCGGATAGGGGGTCCCGAACTGTGCGTCAAGGCCGGATGGTAACAGGAGACAAGGGACACGATATTTTTACCCAGGTTCGGGCCCTCTCGATGAAGGTAAAACCCTACTCCTGCTTGATTAATATTGATGATATGGGTAGTACAAGAGTAGATCTACCACGAGATCAAGGAGGCTAAACCCTATAAGCTAGCCTATGGTATGAATGTTGTATGATGGAGTTGTCCTACGGACTAGAACCCTCCGGTTTATATAGACACCAGATAGGGTTAGGGTTACACAGAGTCGGTTACAATGGTAGGAGATCTTGAATATCCGCATCGCCAAGCTTGCCTTCCACGCCAAGGAAAGTCCCATCCGGACACGGGACGAAGTCTTCAATCTTGTATCTTCATAGTCCTGGAGTCCGGCTGAAGGTATAGTCCGGCTACCCGAACACCCCCTAATCCAGGACTCCCTCAGCAGCCCCTGAACCAGGCTTCAATGACGACGAGTCCGGCGCGCAGATTGTCTTCAGCATTGCAAGGCGGGTTCCTCCTCCAAGTCCTTCATAGAAGATTGTAAACACCAAGAATAGTGTCCGGCTCTGCAAAATAAGTTTCCACATATTGCCATAGAGAGAATAATATTAACACAAATCAAATCTGCTGACGTATCCCGCAGTGTGTCATCACACTACGGCCAAGTCTTTCACTCGAATTGTTTTTACTTTTCCACCTCAGCGCGTTTTGCGAGGCGGTTTCCTTGGCACGTCGTGTCAAAGCAGAGATCATGTCCCCTTTTTACGGGATTCTCATCAATACGGACGTGGGTAACCCAATCATGCCCGTTAGCACGTTTCCTCGATTAAAGGCGAGTCCCAAACGGTTACGGGGAGGGCTCTTGGTATTCGACCTCTTATAAAGAGACCAAGGCCTTACTCCTTTTTTCAATCTCAAACGAGTTCGCCCATCGCCTCGAGTTCCAACACCCTAGGCTCCAGATTCCAGGCGCTTCGGACCTTCGACAATGTCCGGCTCTGACCTTCAAGGCCGATGGACGCCCTCCTCCGTCACGGAGGAGGACGTGCTAAAGTTGAGAGAGGCTAACTTCCTGACCGCGAAATTTCGCATAGGTTGCCTGCTCAAGGGCAGGTCATTCCCAGTTCCCAGCCCGGTGAGAGCGTGGTATTCATGTCTCACTTCCTTCGGGGGTTAGACTTCCCAATGGATCCCTTCATGAGGGGGCTGCTGTTTTATTACGGGCTGGAATTCCATGATTTAGCTCCGGAGTCCATCCTCCATATCTCCTCATTCATTGTCGTGTGTGAAGCGTTCCTCCGTGTTACCCCTCACTTCGGATTATGGCTCAAGACCTTTAAAGTGGAGCCGAAGGTGATCGAGGGACGGCACGCGGAGTGCAGAGGCGTTGTCATAAGCAAAAATGCCGATGCTCCATGGCCCGAGGGCTCTTTTCAAGAGGAGCTAGGCTTGTGGCAACGAGAGTGGTTTTATATCACCGCTCCCCGAGGCACCAAGTGGGTGGCGCCTCCTGCCTTTCGCTCGGGTCCCCCGCCACGGCTAGCGTCATGGGTCAACAAAGGGTTAGATTGGGGGTTACCCAAAGACGTGCCCTTATTGCAAGGCCGCATCAGGGATCTCTTAGAAGAAGACTTCAGCCTGGTCAAGGTGACGCAGGTCATGCTGATTCGCCGAACATTGCCCGACAAACGTTGCTCCCTTCGCCTATGGGAGTTTAATCCAGAGGGACCGCGCGCTCTCCAGAATTTCATGGGCGCAATGCCCGCGGAGATGTATAAATTGTTCTTCGGATCACAAGAGATGTGTCCGGATTTAACCGAGGATGCAGGCCTAAGCTGCAATCGCCCGGATACTCAAGTAAGTAACCTTATGCCCGGACCTGCTATCCGTATAATTGTCATAAACTTGCCCCTAAAAGAGCTGTCCTTTTAAACAGGAGTGGATAGCGAAAGCAAAGCTGATCAGGTGTCTGGCTCCCCTTCCCGAAACCACGCGCGGATCCCGTGCTTGTCAGGATGTTGAAGATAATGCCTCTGGAGGGAAGTAAGGGGGAGGACAAGGAAACTATGGCCTCCTCAAAGGAGGCTGCTCCGAAGGGAGGAACCGACAATTCCTCTCCTAAGGGGAAGAAGAGGGCCGCCTCTGACGACCCGGAGACCATGGCCTCGAAGCGGGGGGGAAAATCCTCGTCAGAGGGTCCGACGCCGGGGAGTTCCTCGGCCGAACTGCACCCTCAAAGGAATCAGCCCTCCAGCGAGCCGTAAGTAAAGAAAGGTTTTCCTTTTGAGGGATGATAGAAATCCTTGATTTATATCTGAGAAGATTTAACCGAAATTTTACCTTGTAGCTCGGACCTCAGCCCTTCTCAGCAGAGCTCGTCTTCGGGGGATCTTCTTCCGGAGATGATGGAGAGCGGGACGCCTCCCCCTGCTGTACCGCCTAGCGAGGTGGGCGACCCTGAGGTGTCGTCGCGGAGGGTTTCTCTGAATCCGGCAGGGGCAGAAGATAGCTATGTGGCCCCCAAGGTTCTCCGCGTCCGGCCTTCGAAAGAGGCCATGGGACAAGTCCGGCACCGTCTAGTGCTCAGCCGGAGGAGCTAAAGATTCTTCTAGGGCGAGCTTCTATCACAGAGGAGCACCGTGCATTGATGGACGCGGTGATTGAAAGGATTTCATCCGAAGAAAGCAGATTGCATGAGGCCGTCAAAAGCTTACTGGCGGGTTTTGAGGTACGTTAGATAATGTACGCTTTTGTCAGTTGCGCATAAGTAAGATGCGCCCTGTGTAGATAGTAGCCCCTGAGACTCTGTGCGTCGTCAAGAAATGACGGCACGCAGAGGATCATAATCCCAGGTCTAAGATGTCGCCTTTGAATGTAGGCGGCAGGGTGTCCGGAATCGAGCCGAACTAATGATTTTGCCGAACTAAAGCGGCAACTGGACATGGCAGATGCCGACATCGCGCTTGTAAACAAGCGGCTTGATGAGGCTCAAGGTATGTAATTCCTCGGGCGGCATCAGGTAAGAAGAGTTTTATGCCAGTGTCTTATGATGTGTGTGCTTGACGCAGATGGTGCGGCCGCTGTGGAGAGTCTCAGGGCAGAACTTGCCCGAGCTAAGGAACAAGCCAGAAAAAGCGATGCGGCTGCCAAGAAAGCCCTTGAAGAGCTGAGAGCCGAACAGGCTGCTCACTGCCGAAGCAAGGAAGAGATGACCGAGATGGCCGAAAAGTTAAAGAGCGCTGCAGACCGTTGCAAACTTCTTGAGAAAGAAGACCGGGCGAGACAGACGGACTTAGAGAAGGCCGTTGCCGATGCCAAGGACGCTCGCTCTACGGTGAGAGCTGCGAAGGAGGAGCTGCGTCAGGCCGAACAGATTGCGGCTGGAAAGCCCTTTATGCTGCGGAGGAAGTTTTGTGATCCGAAGTTTGCTCCGTTGGACCGGATGTGGAGTGTGGAGGACACCTATCTGGATTTGGCAGCCAGTGCTTTTCGAGATCAAAAAGTTCGCGAAGTGGAAAAGCTTTTCTGGTCGCAATTTCACAATCCAGAGCGTCCACTGGCAGTAGACGATCGTTTGGCTCAATGGGCCGAACTGAATAGGTTGTCCGGACTCACCATGAAGTACGTCATGGGTCATCTGTGGCTGGGGAGATCGGAGCCGAAGAGTTATTTCAGCTTGGTGCAGCAATTCCTTGACGCGGTGCCGCGTATTAATGCAATGAAGAGGTCAGCATGCATAGAGGGCGCACGAATGGCTCTTGCCCGTGTCAAGACATACTGGGCAGATATGGAGACCATCGTTGTTGCGTCCCGAGATTCGGACAAAAGCCGAGTACCCTCCGAGCACTATTTTCAGGAAGTCCTTGAAGGCGCCCGTGTAATAGGGACACATTGCTCGAAGGATGCTATGTTATCATAGCATATGTAATTATAAAGTAATTTTTTGATAGATTGTAGTGGCATTTTATACTTGTGCCTTTAAGTATTGGGAACACCTCCTGTGCGGCCGTTTTAAGATATATATATATATATATATATATATATATATATATATATATATATACAAAATCTAAAAGATGGCAGTCGTTGGCTTCAGCCCCCACGCACATAGTGCGGGGGTGCTCGTGGAAGACGCATTTTCACACTTAACCCAACGTCTTGGTCCTACAAAGGAG